TTTTTTTTTTTTTAACCTCTTTATGATTTTTAAAAATCAGAACCAGGAGTAGAGACATCTTGTACATGTAGAATGTCTCTGTGCTTGCTTGTTCTGTTGTCCCAGCTTTGCTTCAATAACTCAAAGATTAGTTGCTATAAAAGCCAACTTGAAATAAAGTACTACTCATCTCTTGTTTGTCAGCTATCTCATTATGTTCCAGGCTGAATTCAATTGACTTTATTTTTAGCTCGTATTTTTTGAGACAAAATTGGCCATGAAGTTTTTCATAATATTCCCTTATTATTTCTCGTAAATCTGATCAACAGAGAAAAAATAAACTGAAGAAAAACGAATAGACTGAAACAAACAAACAACATCTTAGGGACCTGTGAAACTATAACAGAATAGCTGACATTTGTATTGTTGGAGTCTTAGAAAGTGAGGGAAAAGAGGGCATGACTGAAGAAGTACTTAAAAAAATAATGGCTAAACACTTCCCAAATTTGGCAAAAAGCATAAACTTACAGATTAAAGAATGTAAGTAAACCAAAAACAAGATAAACCCAAAGTAATCTGCAATAAGACACATTATAGTGAAACTTCTGGAAATTAAAGAAAAGATCTTACAGATAGCAAGAGAAAACCTTATATCGAAAAGGATTTTTGAATGACAGCATATTTCTCATAAGAAACCACGGAGGCCAGATGGAAGTGGCGTATTTTTCGAGTGCGAAATGACCTGTCAACCCTGTGTCCACCAAATATATTTCCAAGCAATAAAGGAAAAAATCAAGGTATTCTCAGATAAAGGCAAACTTAGAGAATTTGTTAGGAAAAATAAAAGAGGGAATCTTGGAACATCAGGAAGGAAAAAAAATGAGATAAAAATAGGAAAAAATGCAATAGACTTTACTTCTTGAGTTTTAAAAATTATGTTTAGAAGGCTAGCAAAAATTATAATATCTGAGATAATTCTAAATGTATGTAGAGGAAGGTATTTAAGACTCATATTTAAAATGGGGAAAAGAAAAGGGATACAAAAGGGAGGTAAGATTTCTATGCTTCTCAAACTGGTAAAATAATTATGCCAGTAGACTGTGATGTTTAGTGTATATAATATAATACCTACAGCAGCTTCTAAAAAAAGCTATACAAGGAGGTGCACTAAAACATACTACAGATAAGTTGAGATGGAATCCTTAATGTATGTTGGAGTAAACACATGAGGCAGGAAGGAGAAGACAGGTAAACAACAAACAGAATACAAAAAATAAAATGACAGACTTAAATTTAGACTTACCTGTCTAAATAAATGAAAGACAGATAAGGACAGAGTAGATTAAAACATGACTATATGGTCTCTATAAATAGCTCACTTCAAATACAGCCATATAGGCAGGTTGAAAGTAAAAGGATGGAAAATGGTATATCCTGCAAATAATAATCAAAGGAAAGCAGGAGTAGCTATATTAAAATCAGATGAAGTGGACTTCAAAATAAAATTACCGGAGACAAACAAGGACATTATGTAATGACAAAAGGTTCAGTCCACCAAAAATACATAGCAATTCTAAATATGTGTGCAACAAATATTAGAGTTGTAACATATGGGAAGCAAAATCTTACCAAAATCTTATAGAACTTCAATAATTGATAGAACAACTATACCAGAAGTGAACAAGGATATAGAAAAACTCAACAGGATCTAATCATTATTTATATATTGTTCAGTAAAATTTATCCATTTAAAGTGTATAGTTCAATGATTTTTCATATATTCAGATTTGTGTAACCATTTCCACCGTTTTAGAACATTTTCATCACCTAATAAAGAAACCTGTACTGATTAACAGTCACTCCCAATTCTCTCCCAGTTCTCTCCTATCCCCATCCCCTGGCAAAGACTAATCTACTTTCTATCTCTATAGATTTGCCTATTCCAGATATTTCATATGAGTAGAATCATATAATATGCGGTCTTTTTTTACTGGCTCCTTCAACTTAGCATAATGTTTTCAAGTTTCATCCGTGTTGTAGCATGTGTCAGAACATTCTTACTTTTTATTGCCTAGTCAAGTTCACATTTTATTTATGTGTTCATCAGTTGATGGACATTTGGGCGCTGCTGCTGCAAACATTCATGTACAAGTTTTTGGGTAGATATGTATTGTCATTTGTCTCAGATACCTGGGAATGGAATTACTAAGCTGTGTGCTTACACTGCATTTTGAAGAACTTTGAAACTTTCCAAAGTGACTGTATCATTTAACGTTCTCACCAACAGTGTTTGAATGTCCCA